GAATATGCCACTATATATATATATATATATATATATATATATATATATATATACACATCTGATCATACAGCACAGGTATTCTCCCGCGTCGCAAATGCTGCTGGGCTTCAGGGTGAGTTAGATAAACATTCACCTTTTGTAGTCTATGAAACGGTTACTCGTCAATGATTGCCATAAGTAATGATGGATATGTAGATGTAGATTTAGGACAGATTAAACAAATATTCTAGAGTATTCCGTATAAATAAGGCAGACTGGCGACAGTCCACTTTTTTTTTTCTTGTGGTTAAAATGGAGCTCTGCATTTTTTTAAGTGCAATGCAATGCAAAACAACCCGATCGGTTTACTCATTTCAGTTCAATTAAATTATAAATGGTAATATCATAAAAATGGCATGTTGAAATGGTGGTTAAAGGAGTGCAGAGGTAATAAACTCACCCATTTCTGAAGCTCCTGCGGCTGCTGCTGCTGAAGTCTAAGAGAGTAAATCCATCCACTAGGTTATGACAAGCACGTTACAATCCTTCAAACTCAAGCAAGCGGCGTTTTTATCGCTGCAAAAATGGCGTCAGTCGCAATCTCGGGTGAGATTTGTTTTTAGAAAGGAAAAACCTAGATGAAGAGCGGTCGATTGGCGATCGATCAGTGGAGTGTGTCTGCAGATTCAGATGAAATGTGGACTGAAGTAGGAATATGGTGTGTACAGTCACAGCGCTGCGTTGCTTCCCTCTCAAATCATCAGACTCGGGGGTGGATCGAGCTTTCCCACTGCGGACAAAACATATCTACTCTTACGATCCTTAATAATATCCAAAGTCCTGCTTCAGATGACACACCGGAGCCGAGCGGTCGTGCAGAGCAAATATCCAGGGATATGCAGACTCTGGCGTTCCCGTTTCTGGACGTGTTTGATCGGACTTGAGCGAGTGTGATGTGACTCTTGCTGGACTCCCGCAGTAGTTTTTGATAATGATCGGTGTGCTCAGCTCTCAGCAAACGCTCTGAGTCTGACTGGCCCTGCTGATTGCTCTCCAGCGCCCTCTACCTGTAGCGCGCAACACTCGCGTTTGTCTGTCTGTTTGTTTTTGTTTGTTTATAAAACATTTTTGTCTATTCATCTATTTTTCCTTGTAGTGCAAAATGATTATTTATGTATGTATGTGTTTGTTTGTGTGTATCACAAAAGTTTATTTGTTAATTATTATTCATTCTTTTTCTAATTATTAATTGTTTGCTTGTAGCTCAAAATATGTATATTTATTTGTCTGTTTGCTTGTAGTGCAAAATATTTGTAGTGCAAAAAGTTTATTCATTATTTTTTTCTGTTTGCTCAAAATATGTATATTTCGTTTTATCTGTTTGCTTGTAGTGCAAAATATTTGTTTATTTGTAGTGCAAAAAGTTTATTAATTATTTTTTTCTGTTTGCTCAAAATATGTATATTTCGTTTTATCTGTTTGCTTGTAGTGCAAAATATTTGTTTATTTGTAGTGCAAAAAGTTTATTAATTATTTTTTTCTGTTTGCTCAAAATATGTATATTTCGTTTTATCTGTTTGCTTGTAGTGCAAAATATTTGTTTGTTTTTATCTGTTTGCTTGTAGTGCAAAATATTTGTTTGTTTTTATCTGTTTGCTTGTAGTGCAAAATATTTGTTTGTTTTTATCTGTTTGCTTGTAGTGCAAAATATTTGTTTGTTTTTATCTGTTTGCTTGTAGTGCAAAATATTTGTTTGTTTTTATCTGTTTGCTTGTAGTGCAAAATATTTGTTTGTTTTTATCTGTTTGCTTGTAGTGCAAAATATTTATTTAGTCATTTTTATTTACTTATTTGTATGATTTATTTATTTATTTATTTGTAGTGGGAAAATGTTTGTTTGTTTGTTTGTTTGTTTAACAAGCATAATATGTCCTGTTTTTTATGTAGGCTACATTTTTCTGTTAAGGCAGTATTATACATCTACTATACTATCACATAAAACTGCATTTGTCCTTGACGTTTTCATTGCTGGTTTCTTTGTGTTTAAGCAAAGACTTCATTGATTTTCAATACCCATCCATTTAGCACATTATAGCTTGTTAATCTTTTCAGTCAGTCAGCAGATACACTATATATCATGCAGTCCAAATACGTTATTATGGATAAAGCAGCTCACATACAACCTTTTTATTTTTATTCTTCTCTCTCAAAGTGACTATACTACTATCACTCTGGCAGACTGAAATAGTTTTGTTTGGCATGGTTTGGGTCACACTTGCCAACTCACATTAAAAAAAAAAAACATAAATAGTAGTAAATAGTGACTACATTTGATTTAAAGAAAGCATATTTAATAGTGAACTGTCATCACTCATCCCCCACTTTATTCACCTCGTCTGACCTTTAGACAGGATGGGTGTTTTTTTATCTGAGCTGTGTATTGATTGAGAGAGAATGTAATGACACTCTGAGACCTCTTCAATATAGAGGTCAGCTGCTGCTCCCCTGACGGCCAATCAGTGTTTCGACTGTGTTAGTAAATAGTTCTCATTGGTCAACCTTGAAAATCAATGACACTGCCGATTATTCAAAGAGGTTCAATGATTTTTCTAGTGGAAAAAAAGTTGCCATGGATACCACATGTAAAGACTTTAGAGGTTTGTGGGATGTGCATGGACTACTGAGTTTAATAAAGGATAATGGATATTATATTGTGCACCTAGATATTTATATGCCTGTCTCATGCCTGGATCATTTATAAAGAATATATCATTTAAAGAAAGAAAGTGAGAGCGATTGTTGAGTTACAGTCCTCAGAACTGTGAAGAGGCCGATAGGTGAGAGGTCTTGATGTGCTGTTTGTTTCTCACACTAATATGTGGTTTTAGTGTAAGTAGCGCAGCACTTGAGCAGACATGTTACATGCAGAGTCTCAAGAAGCAACGGCTGTTGGTTGCAGCATACATTTCCAGGATTGTGGCTTACATTGCTGAAATGTTTTAGTATAACTCAATATTTGAAAGACTTAAAACTTTATGAGATTGTGAGCAATTTACCAGCTCCTTTTATGTTTCTGAGAATCACATATGTTTAACCTATTTACGAGTTTCATCATTCTAAGCATATTTCTTAGACAGCTTGGGCGTGAACCAGTTTACAAAATGTCATTTTCAGAAGAGATTTGTTAGCTATGGTTTCGCTAACTACATTTGAAATGCAAAAATACCTGTCAATATCACCCCATGACAAAACGTTCTAAAAAGCTTTTAAAGGTTTCATTTAGCAGTTTCACAATTATTTTGCTCACCTGTTCTTCAGAATGACTGTTCAGACCGAGGATGATGATCTCGTTCTCCTATTTACTCAACATCACAGTTTCGGCCTGTTCATTATTAAATCTAGAAGTTGTGAAATGAACAATCATATGCTCCACAGAGAAGATGATCATTGAAACGTAACGCTATGTTGACAATGGGCCCACAAGTGTTCAAATCTTTCTGTCAAACAAAACCGATTGAAAAAAAACAATCAAGATTGAAGAATCATGTTCATACAGAAGAAGACCCTTAGTGCTGTAACCCTAGCCAAACATACAAGCAAATAATAGAATATAGTTAAAAAAAACACACATGGATAAAAGAAAGATAGAAAACATAAATGAATAAGAGAAAGATCAAATTGAAATTGACTTAATTTAAAGAAAAAGTTAACAAAAATCATACTGGCTTAAAACAGAACAAGTACAACTTTAAACTGTGTTAAAAACTAAGCCCAAGGAATAAAAATCCTAATTTTAGTTAGCCCAAGCTCCTCCTGAGTATTTTGTTCACTGCTGCTTTCAATAAATGTGTGTAAACTTAAATAAATGTTTGCAAAAACTTATTTGATTCCAATGAAATTTTTTGTTTCTGCACTGACTAAATCAAACAAATGCGCTGCATCTCCCATTTCAAATGAGGCCAGTCTGATACAACTGATACAAAATGAGTCACTGGTGTTTCTCAAGCAAATTACTGGCTATAGTTTCAAATCATTACTACTTAACACTATAAGATTTACTTCTCACCAATCAAAAACTCACTTCTTCACAATATTGGATGCTATTTTCATTATAAACCTGCCAGAAGTCATTCTGTAATTTTGGGACATTGGGTTCAGCAGCAGTTAAGAATTTATCTGATGGGGTTAGTGCACAAAACCACAAATGTGTTTATCAAAGTCAGCGGAAGTGGGCGTCTTCATAAGAACAGAGCTTGTGCTGAACCACTTCCTGTTGAGATGGGAAACTTCAGATGGTGATAGAAGGCGTACAGTAAACAAGTCAAACAAAAAGGTATCTAAGGGGGATTATGTTTTAAAAGAACAACCTTGTGATAATTACACCTTTGCATTGTCTGTTAAACATATCTACTTACACACACAATATGATCAAGATATTAAAAAAAAAAA